GTAGGGAGATGGGCCGGTAGCTTTTGGGGCAGTTGGGGTCTTTCCCAGGTTTTTGAAGAGCAATGGTGATGGCTTTCCTCCAGATTGTTGGTATGTGCTGGGTTTGGAGGCAGGTGTTGTACATGTCCATGAGCCATTGTTTGGCAGCTGGGCCAAGGTGAGTGATCATCTCTGTCAGTATGTCGTCGGGACCTGCAGCTTTGCCCAGCTTCATGGTGCTTAGTCCATCTTCAAACTCCTCAAAGGTGAAGGGCTTGGTTAGAATGGACATGTTCTGCTGACTGCCCGGGATGGTGGTGAGAAGATGTTGTCCTTTAGCCCTGCGCCTTTCTGCTCTTCTCCCGTTGGCCACCAGTTGGCTCCCAACCTGGTTTGGTGTTACGTCGGATATAACGGGTGGTGTGATCTTATCACCGTTTAGTTTCCGGATAGTAGCCCAGGCTTTTTTGCTGTTTCGAGTCATGTTGATGTTCTCTACAAGTGTTTGCCAGGCTTCCCGCCTCTCCTTCCCTAGGGATTCCATGAGTGTGTCACTCAGTTCACTGGCGGCGTCGGAAAAGGGGTCTTTTTCGAACTCCAGTTCATAGCGCGCCAGCAGCTGTGATGACTCCTCTGTAAGGCCTGCGATGTATTCTTTTCGGCATCCGCGTGGGATATGTGCGCAAGCAGTCTTCTTTACAGCCTGAACAAACATGGTGTAGTTGTCAGGTGTGGGTTCAATGTCTGTTAAAGCGTTTTCCATTCCTTCGCTATATTCATCCCATTTGGCCTTCATGAGGTTGAAGCGGCGTCGAAAGGGTACTTCCGTCTTCGTGATGGCAGGCTTGATCGTGACTGAGATTGGTCGATGTTGTGACTTGGGAAGCGGTTTAAGCACCGTTTTCTCAGTCAGATGTGCTAGTCTCTGGCTGACGAAGCACAGGTCAGGGTTGTAGCCTCTTCTCCAGCGGCAGCTGTTGAAGGACTTGGGGAGTTTAGAGTTGTGAATAAGCTCCAGCTGCAAGCCTGTGTTTTCCATCCAACTTTCAACTAGTTCACCATCACTGTTGGTTGAGTCGTATCCCCACATTGTGTGGTGGGAATTAAAGTCCCCAATTACAACGGCATGCTTCTTCCTGCATTTAGGTGGTAGTTCAGGCCATGCAAAGGGGCTGGCAGGTGGTTTATAGAGCGAGGTAATGGAGATCTCTGGCAGGCATATCGTAACAGTCTCTATGTTGGTATCTGAGCTGTTGGTATGGAAGTCCCTGACGTCCAGCAGGGGCTTCACAAAAATTGCTGATCCGTACTTGGGATGACGGATCTCAGCTACCAGTTTCATTCCTGGTAGTATTGGCCGGTTGCTCGTCTGACCCAGGTGGGTTTCCTGCATGCAGACGATGTCGCTTCCATTGCAGCTAGCCGCTAGCACATCAGCCTATCAGTTAAAATTTTGAACACATTGGACCAGTTTATAGTTGACCGACTAAATAATAGCCGCACAGACTAAAAAATAAGAATAAAAAAAAGGATTGTGGCGGTGCATTCAAGCCGTTGTCAGAGCAACGTGATGCATCTTTGTGGGAATTGTCAGCCTCGTTAGAGCTCAACTTTCTGCAGAAG